TTCCTGCTGGCTGTCCTGTCTTTGTTCCTATTCTTTTTTCCACCTTATGTACCCAAAACCTAAAATAAAATGCTTAGTTTGGGGAGTCACACTTAAATGAGTTTTCTTGTCTGCTGTATCCTTTCTGTATTTGAACCCTACTTATCTTCTCCTTGTTATCCATGTGGCTATTCTTAATGTTCTTTAAGTGTCCAATTACATTTCACTTTATGGAAATTCCTTCTTTATATGTCTGTGCTGATTAACTTCTAAATCGTGCAGCAGATCAGCACTTTTCTGTCACTTCTTGGGAGGAGGGTATGTTTGTCCAAGCATTCTTCTAGAGTAGTTACTCCTCTCCTTGCATCTGGAATCCTTCACTATGAATTTTCCTGGTGCTTGAGATACAGCTTTCATGTTTCCAACTGGAGTAAGTTCCAGGACTCTATTTCATTTCCATCTTCAGTGTGTCTGCAGGATTTATGATGAGAGCCCAGCCTCAAATTACAGAAAGGGAGAAATGTTTAGCCCTTGGTGGGGTGATCAGAACATCAGCATAACTGCAGGGGGTTGAATTGTCCTGCCAAGGAGTGCGTGGCCTTCCGCTCACTGCAGAGGTGTGGAGGGAGGGTTAGCTTCACTGCACTAGAGCTGGCATTTGGAAATGCACTCCTTCGAGATCCTGTGTCTAGGAGAGTATTATTTGTAGTCTGTCTGCCCTTTTGAAATGAAGAATCTTCATTGTAAATCTGCTTTTGTTAATTCTTTGACTTTAAGCCATGTATTTTCTGTTGTAATTTATCAAAGGTTGTTTCCTCTGACAAGTTTTCCATACTTGCCAAAATTGATCTACAAGATAAAACTACCTTTTGCTCTTACTGAGGTGGTTGGAATCCCAGCCAAAAATATATGGATCCTTCTGTTCATTAAAGGCATGTGTTCAGTTAATAACCAGGAAGTTGAAGTTTCCTAATGAGACAGGATTCTTTCAGGATCCAAGTCTGACTCCAAGGAATCTATTGTCATCTTCTTTCTGTTCTTCCCTTGGAAAAAGTGAAATTTAAGAGGGAGAAACCATTCTGAATGGTAGCAGTTTGGCCAATTTGCTCAGTGTCTCAACTTCTGATTGCCTTAACTCCCTCATTCAAGTCACATAGGAGGAATCTTTTGAGTCATGTTATTGTGAATGATGAAAGCAAAGTTCATTTTAACTCTGCTAATGATCTTACACAGTATCATGGCTGATGCAGTGGTGTAACAGTGTAGGTGGACTTGCATTCCTCCAACGTTGGCCATAGCACACAATACTTGAAACCATTCCAGATACACTTTGTGTAAAGAGAACAAAGTTTCTGCTTTGGAAGGCAATTTGATGCTTTTTTTTAACTATGCTCAGTAAACCAGAGATTTTCTTTCTCAGGCTTGTCAGAGCTATTCTTGAGGGCAGGCTCCCTTTGCCTTTGACTTGGAGACCTTATCAAGGCACCTGAAATTGCTCCCTGTTCTGATGATGGGTTCAAGCTCTCAAAGTCAGTGTTAACACATTGTACACTCAGTATTCATGTGGATAGGAATTCTCTAGATTCATCCTGCCTTTAGGGCTATAATTAGTGCACTGAACAGGCCTGTGAGTCTGCCTTTCAGAGAACTGAGGTGTGTACCTTCCCTGTATCTCCAGGGCTGAATTCATTTGCCAGTGTCGAGACCTCTCTGATCATCTGGCACCAACATGCAGTGTGAGAGGTGAGCTGTGTTTTGCAGAAACTCAATACCTTAAGACTTAATGGGTTGAAACAAGTTTGTCTTTCAAAGATTGACCAGAATGGTACAGCTCAGAACACAAATGCAACTTTTTCCTGAGTGGAATGCACTTCCAAGCTAACAGCTGTCGTCTGTGGCATGTGTAGCCCTGGGACGCTAGGTGACCTTCAGATAACTTTATCTGCTGTGGACAGAGGCAGTGGTCACTCTACATCCAGCATGGGTTTATAAGAGATTGCAGGAAGCGAGTAACTTTACCTTTGTGTCAATAGTTCAACAGGCATAAAGGTCGAGATAAAAATCTTTCTTGGTTTCGTACACAGCTGCAAATATAAAAATACCTGTTGCTTAATGTGTTTATCTCTTGTTTGTATTTTTGAAGTGATTTCTCAAGGTTTTGCAATGGAATTTTGCCTCAGGAAATGGTGATCTTTAATTTCAGTAGCATACCTTAGAAGAAAATACTCCCCAAAGCAAAAGTATTCTTAGATGGCTTCTTGGTGACATCTCATCGTATCTTGTATCTAGAAGGGCTCAAAATAAATCTTGAATCTCAGTGTCAGAAAACACCATACCCATCATATAATTTTGTGATACACCCAAGTGTTGAACAGTGTGTTCCCCTCTTACCCTCTCCATCACGATGATCCATCCATGTGTTTTTGCACTTGAATATAGGGATGTAAATTTCCTTGATGTAAGATATTCCTTATTCCATATGTCACCAACCCCAAGTTAATGAGACGACAAAGATAGCACAAAACGATGCAGGGAAATGGGAGCTGTGGTACGGGAAGGAGCAGCACCTACTGTTTGAGCCAAAAATTCAAGGGGAACTGAACGCCCTTGCTTTGCACCAGTGAGGTATTATAATCAGCTGAGTTGCAGCATCTTGCCTTTTTGAGAGGCACCATCTCCTTGGCTTCTGTAGAGTTTCTTCTGGTATGTTTAGTCTCTAATTTAGAAGGGAAAAATACCAATTGGCATGTAATTCTATAAAGATTCCCATTTCCTTTTCTAACTCATCCTGTATCCAAATTGCATTGCACTGAAGCTTGAGTCTGTTGCCTATTCATTGCTTCAAATCTTCAGGTTCTGACTAGTTACCATGGCACTGAATTTCTCTTTTGATTATTTTGTGAAATTTTTGTTTCGTTCTATAATATTTCTGTGCAGTATTTACTGAAAAGATGAGAACCAGTAAAGGAATGAACTTGCTCAAATTGTTGTACTGCAGCCAGTGGGTTTTTGTTGATGCACAAGTGATTCTTTTTATATCCATCAGGGAGTAAATTGGTACAAATAGTGAATTTCCAAAGGTGAACTTAGTTCTTGCAAAATCTATGTGGAATTATTTTCAATTTGCTCTGAAATCTCTGGGTTTAGAAGCATCTTCACAAACTGCCAATGCCCAGTCAGTACTGTGTAATCCGTTGTGTAGTTATACTGTGTAAATATTACCTGTTGGCACACTGCTCTCTATCGGGGTCTGGTGTTGGAGCTTCCGCTGTAATAAGTCTGATGGTCTTAATGTCAAGCAAAAGACTAAGTGAGCTTCTTGCCTTAATACACTTAACATACTAGGGTTTTTTTCTACTCTCCTGTTCAGTTTGTTGCAGTAGAGGTAAATTACACTTTAGCTGTTTAATTCCAAATGGGTTTAGTTTAAGTACAAGTATATTTTGGTGAAGAAACTGGAGTGGGTTTTGTGTGATTTTCATGTTTTCCATTTCTGTTACTGGATTTGACCATCTTGTACTAACGCTGCATTGTTCCTATGGAAAATACTGATTATGAACTCTTCCTTTAGGTTGCCATAAAAATAATTGACAAAACTCAGCTGAACCCAACTAGTCTACAAAAGGTAAGTTTTTACATTTAATCTTTCAACTGTATTGTATCTTGTTTTGTTCCACCACCTCCTTCTGTTAACCCAGAATGCCCATGCTGATGAATCTGAACCATTGCGTACCTTGCACACATCTGACTACTGTATTTAATAACTAGTTTTGTAACATGTTTTTGAGAACGCTGCAGTTGTTCAAGATGAACTCGCACAGAGCTGCAAACTGAGAAAACAGTGGTATCAGCCACTTCCTTTGTCTCCCAAGCATAGCTAACTCTGTAGCGAGGACGTTTGTGGTTTGGTGTCATGCCCCTGTATCTCTGTGCTGGTCACTTTGCTAAACTTATAAATACAAAGCTTATGTTCTCTCCTCTTAAACTGCCCTTGAAAATACTGCCTCTGGACTGAAGGCCAAGCAGTATCTCTGCCTTTAATGTAGTTTGCAGCAGGAAAGGTGATGCAGTTTTATGGAACAAATTGGGGCATGGCTATTCTGGTTTCTTCCCTCCAGCCTCGAATGTTTAATGTGCTGTTACAGTTGTATCGCCTTATCTATTTTAGTAAGTAGTGATAAATCCTACTCTTTCATCAAGCGAACCAGTCTGCTTTGGAGCGCCTGCAGGAAGTACATTTAAATGTCACTTTTACCTAGGACTTTTCTAACTCTGTCCTTTTAAGTGCTGCAGTCAAAGGCTTTTTATTTACTTTTGAGTACTTTGATAAAAAAGCTCCCTGCAATATTTCTGTTTGAACGAGAGAATACTCAGAACTTACCTGCAAACAAAATGAAATAGCATAACGAGAGTAAACTGGAGAATATACACATTTTATGCAAATACTAAAAAGATTGTGTGACAAGGTGTTTTTATCAAAATTAATGGTGCAAAAGTAAATTGGAAAAACACACACAAGTTCTTACATTGTATGGTTTGGTCGAGAGGCAAAGAATAACCTATAGAAGAAAGGCTCCATCATCTGAGCAGGTAGCAACTTCCTACTTACTCTGTAGACTGGCTAAAAGTAGATAATGTGGTTCCAGTTTTCTCAGAATATTTTTCAGCTTAATCCCTGAGGTTATTGGTAATTTCTGGGTAAGCAAGGAGGAAATGAAATGCAAATTAAGTAATATGATGGATTAGATAAAGTTGATTTGTGTGGCAGATCTATGGAACTTGGAATATCTGAAAAAAATTGTTGCACTTGGAAGAGAAACAAAAACTATGTGATAGGAAGGGGAAGGGTCAGGGCATGGGAAAAATGGTTAGAGAAGTAGAGAGGCCATGTTTTCAGACAAAAATGTAAAATCTTAATCCTTCAAATGGTGTTAGTTTGAGATTGGGCTGTAATGCTAGCTTGAGCTCATATGAAGGTACAAAGCAAACCTTTTACAAGTCACAGGTGTTTGGTTGGCAAAGCCACAGGCTGGAAGTGTGCTCGTTGGCCCTTTGGTTCCTGGGTTTCAGCCTGCTCAGTGTCCACTGGTATCTCCATTGTAATTTCATTTTTTCTTTACAATTTGTAAAATTAGATTATAAAGTGTGATTTGTAAATTGGTCCTGTCTACCGCTGAGATTCTTAAATGGGAGTCTGGAAGAATAGTACAAAATAGCAGGGTAGAAATCAGATCAAATTTGGGGAGTGAGATTGCTAATCTGCTCTCCTCTCGAAGTTCATTTGTTATATGAGCACAGAAAAAATTTAGCAAGACATGTCAGTGTTCTCAATTCAAAAATTGAAAGTCATTTTCTTAAAATTAAATGCCTGCTTGTCATAGTAAGCAGAGTGAATGCACAACGCATTCCTTGCCAGTTTTACTTAATCAAGGTTTTTTTTGCAAACCCTTGCCCCTTTTCCCCCAGCACTGTCAGCAGTGCCATAGCCTCGGTGCATTTGAAGCCAACTGCACACGAGACCTGTAGATGCAGGGGAAGCTAAGATGGAAGTGCTTCTGACCTTACACTTCTGGAGAGAGCAATAAAATATTTGAGGTATGGTGAGGAGGGAAGGGCTGTGCCGAGAAGAGGGTGTGGTATATAGTGTCTCAGCTGCGGTGTAGCTGCATACTGTAGTCATCCTTAGGTGGGGAAACAAATGGTGATTAAGGCTGTCAGTTCTGATTTCTTTGAATTGCATCTTGCACACCGATACTTCAGAACAAAGTTAACCTTGTTAAGGACTTGCTTTGCTTTCTGGAGCAGTAATTCTTGGTATGCCCTCGTAGTGAGCTGCGGGCGGCTGCAGTCCTGACAGCTCGATATTCAGCAGCGCAGCTCGTCGGAAGAGTCAGGTTTCTGGTCTGCTGCTGAGGAAGTCTGTGGTAGCCGCATGCAGCTACTCTTGAACTGTTGTTTTAGGACCTAATTACTACTCTGCGGCTCTTGCTTAGTGAAGAGGAAACTGTAACCGGTACTTCCCTGCTTTGAAAGAAGAGGGAATTCTTAGAGATTTTTTTCCCATGCTGGTGGTGTTAGTCATAATCACTATTCTCCACAGATATACTTGAGTACCCAGTTCCAGTGAATATTGGTCTCACTGGAAACAAGTGCTGATGCTACAGTAGTTCACTTCCTCCTAGACAAAAAAAAAAAGTCTTGTTTGTTTTTTTTCTTTTGAATTAGTAATGCCATTATATGCAAGGGTTTTTTTTTACCAAGCCCATGTAATAGCACTAAGTCACTTCTGATTTTCCTTTTTTAGAACTTGGCTCCTCAGCCAAATATTTTTGTTCATTATGTGCAGATGTTTTGCCACTTGTTTGGGCCATTTTGTTGTTAAAGCTTTTTAGAGTTCTTAAATATCAATTTTAACATGGACAGTGTCCTTTCTGACCATGGGTCAATCAGTATTTTAAAAATGACAAGAAAAGGATGAGAATTTAAAATGTCCAGGCTTTTCTGTTTATAACAAGAATTTTTTTCTGTTTTCAAGTTGTGCTTTGTTTGAGGCAAACTGTATTGTGTAAAGGCTTCCTGCTTGAGGTCCCTAATTATATATAGGGCATATTTCAGTGAGTGGTTATCCAGAGAGGAGCCTATTACACAGGTAAAGCTTGGGGCAGCACATCATGAAAAGACCTCTGCTCTAGGGAGGAAGGAAGCCAGGGTATGTTGGTGCTCTATCTGATGAGCCTACTGACTTCTTAGCAAACTTTTTCAGTATTTTAAAAATAATTTGTTACTGAAACTCTTGCAATACCTAATGCAGGAACACTTCTAATCTGTCTTTTGGTGTGTTCAAAGAGAGCTGGCTTAAAAGATGAGTCCTTTTCCCTCACTCCCTTGTTGTTTTGGATGTGTCAGCATAATAAAACTCAAGTAAAATTGATTCAAGATTATTACTCAGTATGTGTCTCTGCTTCCTTTGCTGGTTTGTTAGGGGTTGGGGTTTTTTCCCTCAGTTTGTCAGCTAGCAGCGTTAATTAAATGCAATTCTTTCCCCATATCTAACATGGCTCTCAGTCAAAGGACCAGACTACAACAAAGCTGAAAGCCATTTGTTTGGCAGACTAAGGATGTTTGTCTTTGCTTAGAAACATTTATAGAGCTCCTGTTGACGGAAAATGAACTATTCAACAAGTTGGGAGTAGTTTTTAATCTCTGTATTAGAAATTAAACTGATAAGCACTGTTTTCAGTTGATTATCTGCCTTTATGGCCTCATTATGACAAGTTCCTAAAACTAAGAAAATAATTTTCTATGTTGAGAAGCTTTACGTTATGTCTTCTGATGTTACACCTTCTGCATTCCTGTGGCAGAGCGCCTCAGATGTGTGGACTTTTATCATACCTGGCTGTTAGCAATTAATTTTACTGTGTGATCATGATTACTACTTAATTTGCTAGAAGCTGAGGCACATAATGTTTTCATAGAATGGTTTGGGTTGGAAGGGACCTTCAAGATCGTCTAGTTCCAACTCCCTGCCATGGGCAGGGACACCCTCCACTAGACCAGGTTGCCCAACGCCCCATCCAACCTGGCCTTGAACACTGCCAGGTATGGGTCCTCCACAGCTTCTCTAGACAACCTGTGCCGGTGTCTCACCGCCCTCACGGTTAAAATTTTTTCTCTTGATATCTAATCTAAATCTACCCTCTTTTAGTTTAAATCCATTATCTCACAACATGTCCTTGTAAACGGTCCCTCTCCAGCTTTCTTGTAGGTACCTTTAGGTACTGGAACACTGCTATAAGGTCTCCTCAGAGTCTTTTCCTCTCCAGGCTGAACAACCCCAACTCTCTGTCTGTCTTCATAGGAGAGGTGCTCCAGCCCCCTGATGATTTTTGTGGCCTCCTCTGGACTTGCTCCAACAGTTCCATGTCCTTGTGTTGGGGCTCCCAGAGCTGGACACAGTCCTCCAGGAGGGATCTCACAAGAGCAGGGTAGAGCGGGGGGAAATCCCCTCCCTTGACTTACTGGCCGTGCTTCTTTTGATGCACCCCAGGATATGGTTGGCTTTCTGGGCTGTGAGCGTGCATTGCCGGGTCATGTTAAGCTTTTCATCAGTCAGGATCCCCAAGTCCTCCTCAGGGCTGCTCTCAATCCGTTCTCCACCCAGCCTGTATTTGTCCTTGGGATTACCCCGAATTACGTTTTGGGAGAATGAAATCTAGGAAACCTTTTTTCAGCATACCATGTGAAAGTTGCATGATGTTTTACATTGTATTATGTATTATATTCTATTTCTGATAGAGGAATACAGTGTCAAGCACTTGCAGATACCTTTGTGGCAGCTAGCTGTGTCAAAATGTCAAACATAACATTTAAACTGACTAGGAGAGGAGCACAATCTGAAGTGCATTTATCTACCTAAAATTCTAGTAAAGAATTTGGTGGTGTTTGTATCCTGTTCTCAAGTATTTTTATTTTTAATTTCCTCTGAGGAAAAAATGAGTCTTTTTTTTAAAAAGCTTGTTTCTAGTCACCACTTCAGCAAATGGCCCATATGTAGAAGCTACTTTTTGAGATGCTTCATTCAGGTTAGTAATGCAGAGTAGTCATCTTGTAGACCAATGATATATTTAGAGCAGCCCAAAATGTGGTATGAGCCTTACTTTATCACCATCAAAGTGTACAGTGTACAATGGAGGAAGTAGCTAGCTAGTTCCAGCCAGTCAGCATACTTTATTAAAAATAGAATAGTGAATATATTCATTTATATGATCATACTGAGTTTTAGCCTTGTTCTTACTGTGTTATTCTATATTGCCCTTGGTTGACTTGTTTGGTGGCACCAATTATGACTTTGCCTATATTTCCATACTTAATTCTATGAACATATTTTTTTTAGGTGGGTGAGGTGATGATAAATAGGCTAACGGCTGAAAAACAGCCAAGGCCTTCATCTGTGCAGCAGTGGAGTTGCCCTTGGTGAGAGTCTGACTCAGTAGGTTTTTATCTCAGTGTTGGGGCAGAAGGTATCAGCAATCAATCGAGAGCGAATTAAGCAAACTGACTTCTAAACTTTAAAAGCTGACCAGAGCCTTTCAATTATATAAGCTGTGATTAAAAGTATTAATGGAGTATTCAGGATTTATTATACACCAGTTCAGCTGAACTGAATGACAAATAAGAAAAAAATAGCTATAGATTCAAGTGCTTTGAAATTTCTGATGATGAGAGAAGGTGAAGTAGTCTACATTGTCTAATTATATATGAAAAAGCTCCAGAAATAACATAGGCAAAAAGGCAATTTACTTATTTCTCTGAGGGAAAAAGAAAACATACCTGTGTAGTTTTTGAAACTCTGTTTTGCATGGCCTAAAACTTACTTGATCAATCCTGATTCCATTTAAGCAGCTTGTCATCTACTGAAGTGTCAAGCATAGACCTGGGTAATGATAATAAGATAATTAAAAGGGGGAGAAGGGCTGTTGGGCAGTGCAATGGGGATTGCTCCCCAAATCTTAGCCTTTACAGAAACATCAGAAAGCAGAGAATGACTAGAACAACTGATCTCCAAATTGTGATCTCCCCCTTATTTATCTGAGTCCCACCCTCCCACCCCTTGCATTTTCTTTTATTAAAAGACATAAAAGCACAAGGATTTTGTTTTGTTGATTCTTGTTTTCTGTTTGTTTCCTATGTTTCACTCTTTTTGGCTTCTGTTAAGTACACCTACAGATTTTTGAGTCATTAGTAATACATATAGACATATTAAATGTCTTCACTTTATCTGAAATCTGACCTGACGCCGATCTCAGCAGTACTTTTTTCTTCCTTACTGTTAATAACAATGGTGTTACCTCTTATTTACAAAACTCTTTTTTTTTCTCCCATGTCTACATTCCTGTGGACTTTCTTTCTGCTTCAGTTTCTTTACATTAAGTTCAATATGATCTCTTGTGTTACTGCTATTCCTGTAGAAGCTGCTGTTACATTTATAATAAAACCACTTGATTACTCCCACTTTTTGAAGCATGCTGTTAGAAAATAATTGAGGCTTAAGAATGTCAACCTTCTGGAGGCTTGGGAAGCATGGGGGGAGCTGTAGAGGGAGAACAGCTATGCATTTGACTGCTATATAGCATACTGCCTAAAAAGAGAATTCTTTGGGTTCTCCAAATAATACAGTATTTGTACTTCAAGGTTTTTTGTAATCATTTTTTACCTTGAGTCTTTTCCGGGAGAAGGATTGAGACTACTTATACTTCATTTGTTATTAACCAACTTCATTAAAAGCAATGTTTTATATTGCAGTAACAACACCTGTGGCATTTTTAGTATTACATTTATGGATTTATCATAGAGTAGAATTATAGAATTGTTTAGGTTGGAAAAGACCTTTAAGATCATCAAGTCCAACCATTAACCTAGCACTGCCAAGTCCACCACTAAACCATGTCCCTAAGCACCGCATTTATGTGTCTTTTAAATTCTTTCAGGAATTTACGTGCATCTTATAATTGTCTTTTGCAGAACAGAGTTTTCAGAGGTGAAAATAATTAACAGCCGATCAGTAATAGGCTTCGCTTTCATTTGTTAAATGTCATTCCCGTATTGCCATCCAGTTGCAGGAGGACAGAGTTTACTCTGTGACAGGCAAAGTTGAACTCTTTGGAAGTAACTACTTAAGCAAGACACTCTTCACGTGGGTGCTGTTGTTGGGGAGGAGGGGGAACAAGATCCTTATAATCAGTATGTCGTCTCTGGATACAGCACCATTTATCTAACATCATCCTGCAGCTTGAAATGGGCAGCTGTACTCCCTCACCACCCATCCTGCCAAAATAGATGTGCTGGGGTGAACAAGGGAGCTGCAACAGAAAACTTAGAGATGGAGTGTTTTTATTTGAGTGAGTTAATGTTTTGTGAGATTTGCTGTTCAATTCATTCCTGGACCTTGTGCGTCAGTCTGGGGTAACACCAATGCTTGCATAAAGGGAAGCGGTACGCTCCTGTTGCATAGGAAGGTGGATGGTGAAGAGGGTGGGAGCAGGCTGATCCCTTTGAGACTGTACCCCTGACGTTACGGTGTTTCTCCTGTCTGCTGGGGATTGTTGGATCAGGGAAACACCGCTTGCATTCTCCCCTATTAATTTTCACAAGTACATTCAGTGTGTTGTACTGGCTGAGCAGGCTCAGAGGCTGGATGTCTGGCAGCAAGAATCACTGGAGCTGTGATGACAAACCAGGACTAGATGCTGCTGTGCCTCAGTCGCCTTGCAGGAATCCTTTGAAGGGCCGAGGGGGAGCCTTGCCTGCTCATCTCTCCTTAAAACTTCCTCCTTGCTGGTGTAGTTGGATAACACACTTTTTTTGTGCAATATAAGCAGCTGATTTTTCACTTGTGAATTCCTGTTGTAGCACAGTAATTCCATGGCTTTAACGAAGTACTGAAGCATGATGAATTCATACCAGTAACATAATGCAGTGGTCTTCAAAAGGTGCTCTGGTGGGGGTTCGTGGGGTTGGAAACATTTTCTGTGAAGGAGTGAAAGATGGTGTGAGATGTACTGGCCAGCAAGAAGCTGCATGGGCTCATAATGGGCTTCTGTCCCCAAAGGTCTGCGAACCACAGAGCTAAGGTCGCTTCTCTCCTGAGCTACCTGGAGCATTTTGTGGGTGTTCTCAGGTTTTGAGGGTTGGTCTGTTTGGGGAGGGGTGTTAAAAGAATCAGGCACTTAACTCTTCCTTCCATTAAGTGCTTATTTCATGAACTTCATTGAAATGCTAATAGTAATGTTTGCCCTTTGTGTTTAAAAAGTTACATCAAAATGATTAGGAAGAATGAGTGTTACCTGTTTCATTAACTTATTTCATGTTTTATGTTTATTTCAGCTCTTTAGAGAAGTAAGAATAATGAAGATCTTAAATCATCCAAATATAGGTAACTTGTTTCTTTTTACGTAATTTCCAACTCTGGATAAATGTTAGCTTTTTCACTGTTAAAATTGTTGTGGTATGAGTTTAAAAGATAATTCTGCACTAGGATGTCAATTTACTCTAAAGTAGCAGTAACAAATGCTTTTTCAAAGCTGTGTATTGGGGGGGGGACGGGGGACGACACACCAACCAAACACAAAAACCCCAATGTTTTCATCCCTTTGCAGAAAATGCTGTTTGCATAGCTGACTGATAATTTTGCTTATTTTGAGTAAAATACTGATTTTGACTGAATTCAAGCTCTCATTAAAAATTAGTATATACCAAAACGAAGAAGTGGTCAAGAAATTGTTTGGGATTGTATATTTAAATGATGTAGTATTGTTACAGGACTATCAGCAAACCAACTCATTTCTTGCCATGTATGCCAATTCAGTGCATAAAAATGGCTATTGCTGGTGCTCAAATCTGTGGAAGTTCTGCTTAATTTATTTGCTTTTCCCATGCAACAGAAGCAAAGTATTGTTTCTTGAGAAATTGTTTTTCTGTATGAGTTGACCAATTGTGTTATAGTATTTTTCATTTAGGAACATTAGACAGAAAAAGCTTCTTTAGACTAATAGTCACATATTGTCAAGCAGCAAGCAAATAGGTTTTAGTTTTTCTTTTCCTCTGACAAAATTCTCTGTGGGGTTAACATAATGCTTCTGCAGCTAGTTAACTGATTAATAAATGGCTTTATTTTCTAGTGAAGCTATTTGAAGTCATTGAAACTGAAAAAACTCTCTATTTAATAATGGAATATGCAAGTGGGGGTAAGTACCTCTCTGTGATGACGCATGTTAACAAATTGCCAAGTGAGAGAAACCACTTGTTTTCTTAAAGTTTTGCTTTCTTTTTCAGCAAGTATTAATGTCACGGTAGTGTAAAATCTTAAGCAAAATCTTTAATACTCTGGCACTTCTTTGGGCAATATAATTAATGTTAACTTTTAAAAACAGCTACTGAACTTACTGCAACTTAGTAACATTTGCTTTGTTTTCACAACTCTGATGGGAATCTTTATTCAGCCATTGATCCTGTCGGTAACAAATGCCGACCTTTTCAATTTACTGTGTTCAGCTCCCTACCTGTGGTGTTCTATTTTGTATAAGGTATTTGGTAAAAACACATTCAAATGAAACACTTTCTTTAACTGTTGCTTTCAAATGCACAAGCACTGCAACTTCTGGGGTTTTTAGATGTCCATGACATTTGACATGTCTTAGTCACAGACCTTCTACTGTCAAGGGTTGTTAGGCTTAGCCTTAATGCCACTTTAGGAGGAACTTAGACATTTATTCCTGATTGCAGGGGGGGGGTGGAAAGCGCACATCATGCAATGTCAGATATTTTCACCAGAGCTAGAATTAAGGTATTTGGGCTTAAGTTACTCCTTGCTGGCTAAAACGTAATAGCACTCAGTTTGTCAGTGTGACCCTTTAGCATCAGCAGCTGTGAATCTCAATTAGTTGAGGCTTTTCTTTAGTTTTGGGAGGGAGATAGAGACACTCTTCAGAGAAAATCAGCATTGAATTCTGACTCTGACATTAGATTATGTAAAATTTAACGAATTACTATAAATCCAGTAATGATTCTCTATCTGCCTATGTTTTCTTCTAACAGCTCCCTAAATGCTCAGCCAAGATTTGTCCAAACAGAAACAAAGTTGGTAAAATAACCGTTAAAATATTGGCTAATACAGGTGTTTGTGGAGGCATCTCTGTGCTGTTTGATGGTACTAGACTTAAAAGTGAAGTCCTGTTGCCATCTAGTGATTAGCTTCTGGGAGGTAGAAGGGCCAACAGCTCCCTAAAGCAGTGAGGATCTATCTTAGGGTAATGGAGAGATACGTTTCTGTACTGGTCTAAAAGGCCATGAGCAGTACCCTTTGCACGTGCTGTGTTGTGCAAGAGAGGAATGGCTGGTAATCTCGGTAGCAGGCATCAATTTTCCATTATTTCCTCTTTATCAAGATACTGGTCACGCATGATGCACATGAACTGTGGCTGCAGGATGAAAGAAACTCTTGCTACAACTGCAACACTTCACATAAATTTGGGATAATTCTTTCTCTGCAATCATTTTCCCTGAATTGTGAAGAAGTGTTCAGGTTTGTTCCTTCAAGGTTTTTGAAGAAACAGCTGTTAAATACAGCTGAGTTATCTGAGTTGAGTATTAAAAAATATGCTGCAGAAGGAAGTAAGGCTATTTTGTAGAAAATCCTGACATTGCTCAGGTGTTACTTTTCCTGCTGTATGACTCTGGGTTTTTAATTAAAATTTAGGGGAGTTGCGTCTTTTCAAAAATAAATGTGAAGTTACTCAACTCTTCCCTTGTGAGGTGGCTATCTACAAAACAGTGTTTTCTTGCCCAGTAGAGAATATTTAGATATTTGATGAACTTCTAAAGTTTTTATTAATTTTACATATTAGCAAAGAATTTTTAAAACTGCATACTAGTCTGTGTTTGTAGGAGTTCTTATGTATGTGACTATTGGCTTTTAGTAAAGAAAATCTCCAGTGCTCTCACAAACACATCAGTGTTTCATGGGCCAGTTGGCTGCACCTACAGCTCAAACGTTGTAGTCTGTATTGGCGTGCTGTAAAATGACCGGATTGATTAAAGGGAAAAAACCCAAAATACAATAGATCTTTAGTACTGCTTTAGTAATCTCCTTCAGTCGTCCACTGCCATACAACATTGGGCTGCTTCTGGAGTAATCCTTATCAGTGTATCTTACAGATCTGATGCTTGTGGGATGGATTATGTCAATGTGTCCTGCGATGCTCATTATTGTGACCTTCCTTGTGGGTACCTCTTCCAAGCCTAGGTTAAAGCTAAGATTTCTGATTTTGGTTAGAACACATTTATACATATGCACAAAGAAAAATTCTAGTGCTAGTATGATATTTACAAATATAATCAATGTTCCTTTTTTTTTGTGGGGCAAAAAAACCCTTGTGAGAGAGTCTGTGAAGGGGTATATGTCATCTTTATTTACAAAACAGAAGTATGCTGCTCAGTTTCTATTGTGAATAATTGGAGGGAAATGGGTTTTTTGTCTATATCAGTCATTCATTAAGTCTTATTATTTTCTTGTATAAGAGATGACCATGTAGTAAATTGCACAGCAGTTGTGCCTTTTCTCTTGAGCTAACCCGTAATCATAAACTTGAAGTACAGTTATTCCAGTGGAGCTGCTGTGGGCAACTGCTAGAGAGGAATCTCTAGATTCTTAAATTGGCATTAATGTATCTCATTATTGAATTGTAGGGGAAGTGTTTGACTATCTGGTTGCACATGGAAGAATGAAGGAAAAGGAGGCTAGAGCTAAATTTAGACAGGTATGTATAACATTCCTATACATCAGCTTCCTTCCCCCCCCCCCCCCCCCTTCCATTTCTTACTGCGGAAAAAAAAAAG